AAAAATGTTCCCTTAAAAAAAATCGTGCTATCATGAAAACGTGTTAAGTGGGCATGTGTTAAATGAGGAATTACTGTATTCACCACATTTGATAGAAATCTGCAAGCTTGTGGAGGTAACAATTCCTAGGATCATGTAGAGCTCCATTTTTATCCAAATCCATTTTATCCATGCCACACTAGGGATGTGAGTAGTCAAGTTGTCAACTACTTGCTACCTCCCCACCTGCACCTGGCTCTTACTACATTTAAACTGCAGAGGTGCAGCAGGAGGAGCTCATGGACCAGCACAAGCCAGGAAAGATCACCCTCCCTTATAAATTAATCATGTAGTCAATACAAATTGTAACTATACAATTAGTCAGTTACCCACCTCTTGACATCCCTATGCCACACTACACATTGGGACCTGCTATCTTTACAGGTCACACCTTTATTAAAAGATGAGAGTGATGCCATTTATTCAATTTTATTTAAATTAAGTTTCAGGATCTTGAAGGGCTGCAATTATGGAATTCGACTGGGTGAAGTTTGGAAACCCTCGATAGAGAAACAGAAATCCACCACTTCTGGCAGCTGCAAAATAGATCAACTAACAAGACAGGTAGTAAATTCAATTTTTTACCCTTCAAAAGTGTTTCAAACTCTGCAAAGCCTTTTAAATCCAAGGATCAGATGTTTCCCCTATCTTTAATTAACAGATTAAGTGTTTGGATATCCATGATTATAAATGAAACATATACATCCAGAACATACGCCTCCATTTTAAAGATCACATTGACACACACACACACACACACAGCTTCAATAAGGCATATCTAAAGAAAACCTTTTTTAAATGTTAGAAAATTAAAAATTGACGCACTGGAAACAACACTCCTTAGGGCTTTCTGAGCAAATGCCGAACCCTGACGGTACTTAATTGTATGTTATATTATGAGGGAATTCCTTCCTGATCCCAGCTAGGGAATAGCCTATGCCCTGAAAACATGAGGTTTGATTGCCCTTGTAAAGTCTACCCTCGCTACTGTAAATGCGGACATTATCCTTACTTATTATATGCCCGTCTGACACGGTTTTGAATCTTGTTAAACTTTTTGCCTCAACATCCTGTGGCAGCAAGTTCCACAGGTTACACCACTCTGTGAAAACAAAGGCCTCCATTGCGTTGGAGCGGCTGTTGGCCTCAACAGGGGCCAGCGGTGAGAAGCGATGAGCCCCAGGCCCAGCGTGCAGAAGAAGCCCCCCCAGGAGCGCTGGCGGGGGGAGGAGGAGTTGTAACTCACCGGCGGCT